TGAGTGGGATTGGAATTTAACATTTTTTGCCAGAACTAACATCGGCGGATGTCTGCGGTGGTAACTGCGGTTATTGCTAGTTCGAGAGAAAACAAAAAAACAACTGCCGCCAGCTGCTGCTATACCCCAATGATGCAAAAAATATATCAAAAATACACCCGCGGTTTTTATACAAGAGACCGCTTATTGTGTCGCAAACCGTCGGTTTTGATCAGTTTTTCTGCTTGAAAATGAACCTGTGTGATCCGTATTTTCGACGGTTTTTTTCTATTGATTTTCGTGTATGAAGATCTCACATTTTTATTTCTCCCACAACAAAGTATAATGTACAACACAAACATATCCTCTGAAATATTAACCGAATGAACAATATTTTTACAGTTTTATTTATATCTATTTAAAAAATTTAAAGCTGTGCTAAATTTCTTGAGACGCCCTCTTACTTTTCGTTTGTTTAATGGCTGAATACGTGTTTTATCCATGGGGGAAAAAGCAGTTTCGGTTTGTAACCGGTATTTTTGCTACTCTTTCAAGATGAGTCATTTTTTTTGCTTAAAAAGCTCATTTGAGAACTACTTGAGATCTCAAAAACCCAGCTTTCAAGGAGATCTCCAGGAACCCAGATTCCTGTTCCCACAAGCAGAACAAAAAGGCTTCCGTCTGAGAAAAAAAACTCCCAGCACAGAACACAGTTGCTCCGTTATCAGGGAAATTTCACGACTAAAAGAACAGGATGGTTCTGTTTAGGGGAACAGAAGTTTCAATTGGAAGTTGGGTATGTTAGCGGTATATGCCGCGTATGTGAGTAGTATGTGTACTGTTCAAGTCACTAAACCCACCTGGAAAAAACAGCGAAGGAATTTTCAGAACCAAAAAATGTTTATATTCTTAAGTGTTTTTCAGGATTTGGGATTTGGGTTCGGAAGAAAAGGTTCTTGGAGCCAAAAGAATGATATTCAGCTCAACCTGACGACGCAGATTATGTAGAAGTAAAACCGTATAAGTTAAAACTATAGAAACAAAATCTATCACTTTGATTTAATTTTGTTTCTGATTTTTTTTTCTACCAATGAAAACTAAGCTCGTACCTAGCAACATGTCTCTATATTGCACTCGAGCTACTTATGGTTATTTTACAAACAATGTCTCCCATCTCAGTGACGGAGCAGACCTGAGCAGAGATATTTTATATTAGACATAAGCTTATGATTATAAGTAACTTGCAAAAAAGATTTTTCTCCAACTCGTCTGCAAAAAAATTCCAGCCAAATCTCTTTTGATTCCACATGCGAGCAGCAGCACTAATGTATATTTGATATACCACCGAATGATAACATGTTAAAACAAACGAGAAAAATACGCGACGATAGAGACAGACAATCGACGCCAAATGTTACAAATGTGAATTATATGCTTTTAGTATTATTCAACGATGGACAAAGATGAATAAGTAGAAGCAATATCCAAAAAAACAAACAGAAAATCAAGTTTAAATATTGTAACGAGAAGTATAAATCATTCCATCTTAGACTATACTAAACTACTTGACACTTACAGGACGGCTATTATCGAACGAAACGTTTTTGAAAATGACATGAACCGAAATTATTTTCAATTTTCTACATTATCTTATGATTCTAAATGTAGTACAAATTATTTTAGCTTTCTGAAGGACATAGTGGAGTTCTTGATTCTCGTTCTTTCAAATCTGTGGAAATTATTTTGATTTTTCCAAATTATTTAGGTTAAATTTGTGCTAAAACGAATTTCGAGTATGCTTATTTGATTGAACATATTATTTGTTTCAATTTTATTAAACTCCGTATTTTCAAATGCAAATGCTTCATTGAACACGAAAAATAATACATATCTCCATTCAAAAAGATGTTTTTATTGAAGTTTACATTATTCTTTGTTCATGCTCATATTTCTATTTGATCTGTGGAGCAGTATTTTCTAGTAGCCTTTGTTGCGAACCTATACATGCTTGATATTTTAGCAAATGAATAGTTATTTGTTCTATGTAGCAGTGAAGATATTTTTCTGGAGTAAAAGAGAGTATGTATGAATTATAATACGTTTTACTTGAGCGTAGGAAAAAGCATTCTTTCCTTTGCTAAATGTGAACAATTTAACTTATTTGACATTTTTCCTTTATACTCTTCCACACATTTATTTAAATTATTTAAATAAATTTGTAGAAGACTATAAAGGAAAAATGTCAAATTTATCACAAACCTTCCTATCAAGACTAAATTTAATTTATTGTAACAAGAGAATATCTCCAAGCGTCTGTTAAGGATTTCATTGTGTATAGTAAAGTCGAGCATGTTGATTGCGAGTGTGATAGTTTAGTTGGTTGCTTTAGTAATAATGATGGACTCCACATCTGTGTTCAGCGATGCTAAATTAACAGAAATAATCCGTTACGAACCTTTTCGTAAGCTCTGTAAATATTTCTATTTCTCATTTATAAAGGCTCTAATAACTTCCGAAAAAAGTATGATCTAAAGCTGGAATACATAGCAAACTGTAGCCCAAATGTTTTGTATACAACAATATATCTTTGATGACTTTAGTTTATATTACTGTCAAAATATGATTTATTAAACATACGGTGCTTTTCTGACATGGAAACACTAATCTTATTGCTATAGTAACCATTTAAAATCATCATCATATTTGAAAAAAAAACACGCTCGACTTTACTATGTATAATATGATCCTAGATCTTCACTTGGTGATATTCCTATACTAAGCACTATAGATTGTTATCAGCACCTTAGAAATTCCATTAGCCTCACGACTTTATCTACATACAAGATGCAGATAATAACAAACGTTATTTCTGGTCTACAAATTGTTCTTCAACGGGTATTAAGACAACAATTAATACCCTGTCAATATTGGTTAGGTTGTTATTCATTCTACAGATGCATAAATATAATAAATTATTCTGTGCTTTTTTCTATCCATATGGAATAGAGAATATTTCCAGATATACAGTAATTCGTAACTCGTTGCATAAGTGGATGATATTTATTCTCTCTCTCTCTCTCTCTCTCTCTCTCCCTCTCTCTCTCTATGTTTGGCATAATAAAGTGCGAGAAACATAATATGGATGGTGCTGAAAGACGTGTGGCTTCATTAATTTACAGTTTGTGTAACTGAATGAACAAACAAATAATTCAGAAAACAAATGCCAACTGGTCACTCACATACAAAGAAGATAATTGTAACTGAAGAACAATGTGCATCATAAAGATTTTAAACATATACTTTCCAAAAATTTGAATATATCTGCATTCAATAACTTTTACACTTTTTTTCCTCTTTTCGTAGAAAATAAAAGACGGTCTCAATGCATCATCTCATTAAAATATTTTGTATTTGGTGCGCACTAATTATCGTTAAAAGTCAGCTATTAGATGATAACAATGATGATGATACGGAAGAGAGATCGTACGATGAGTACGATGATACCTCTAAGTCAGCAAGTAAACGTTTTTCTCTAGAGAAATTTGAATCAACTAAATGCAGAAATATTTTGTTCATAGCCGTCCCATTAATATTTTCCCATCGACCACAGTCAGTGTCTGTTCAGCTTGGTGGCAATGCTGCGTTTCCTTGTCATTCATTTGTCAGTCCTGTCGTCTGGTATAAGGTACGTATGTATGTATTCTTTAAATTTAGTTTCTGAAATCATTAAAAAGACACTTTTTCGTATAGGATGATGTTTTATTAAGTGCAAGTTCGAAACATGTCATTACCAGTCATTCACTTCAAATTGTAAATGTAAATGAAAATGATCAAGGTATTTATGCGTGTACAATAAGAAATTCGAAAGAAATAAAAACAATTTTGGCCAATTTAACCATATTATGTAAGTATTCATTTCGAATACATTACATGCAATAATCAGTTCAATTCAACTTTAAGTTTCTCCTCGATTCAATCCATTGCCCGAAACGTACAATGTTGGATTAATTAATGGATCTATCGAACTACGTTGTCGCGTCAAAGGCAGTCCAAAACCAGTTATGTCGTGGCGCAAAGGATGTATGTTTATTTGTAGTGAAATGTTCTGAACTGAGAGCATAATGTGCATGTTGTTTGTATTGGCTTAACAGCATGCACTATTGTCTGATGATAATCAGTAGAGATGAACAAGAATTTGTTTAATGCAGACGTTCAACTTCGTACATCCCATCGCGTACGATTTTATGATGATGGTGAAATACTGGCCTTACAAAATCTTCGTTCAGAAGATGCTGGTACCTATACATGCTTGGCAGAAAATTCAATTCAACGTATTTATGCTCACATTGATCTTCGTGTTCGTGAGCCAAGTATATAATATTCTTACTTTTATTTTCTCATTGGATAAACCAAATGAGACATTCTTTTATAGCTTCTCCATTTTTCACCAGACGTATGTCAAACTTGACAACGTATGATGGTGCTAATGTTGAACTGGAATGTGGAGTAAATGGTGAACCAGAACCTCAAATTCAATGGATGAAGGACAATGTCGAAATTCATTTTGATATGAATCATATATTGAAAGATGATGGATCACTATTATTGTCAAAAGTAATGAATAATCAGTCGGGATACTATTCGTGTGTAGCGACGAATTTTGCTGGTAGAAGTATTCACTCATTTTGGGTCAATGTAGTCAGTAAGCAAAAACTACTCTTGATGATTATTGCTTTAAGAATGCGCTTTTGGTTTAGATGATAATCAAATAACGGATGAATTAATTGATCGTCTTGTAGAACAAGCATCAGTTGAAGTTAATCATGCTGTGGCTGAAACTGTTCGACATTTACAAGATAGACGCCGACCACGGACACCCGGTGATCTCATGGCGCTCATGAAATATCCAAAACCATTACAATTAAGCTTAGCTAAAACCGAAGACATATTTGAACGTGCTCTTGATCTCGTCCATCGATATGTTGATAACATTACATTTCCCAGTGAACATGCTCGAGCACAACATCATACATTAGGTAATATTTATAGTTGTCACCATATGAATATAGAAATAGTTGTCTTTCCATATTCAAAGATTTTCGCCCCGATCAACTTCTTACCTCACGTCAACTTGAACGTCTTGCCCTGGTGTCTGGATGCGTGGTTCATCAACTGAAATCAAACTGTCAAGAAAAATGTCACGTTTATCGAACGTCAGACGGTACGTGTAACAATATTCAAAATCCATATTGGGGTGCATCATTTACTGTCTTAACGAGATGGTTACATGCTCAATACGAAAATGGATTTAATACACCACGAGGTAAGCGGTTTTCCTACATTTGTTTCATTTACTCAATTCAGATTAATTTTATTACTCTTTCCAAGGTTGGAACCAAAGTTTACTCTATAATGGTTATGTTTTACCTAGTGCTCGTGAAATATCGTCTCGTTTAATTGCCACAAAACACATTACACCTGATCCGGCGTTCTCTCATATGCTCATGCAATGGGGGCAATTCTTGGATCATGATATGTCCCTAACTGTACAAGCTACTAGTAATACGCGTTTCTCCGATAGTTTACGTTGCTTATCATCGTGCAGTTTTGAAGCTCCATGTTATCCGATACGTATACCCGAAGATGATCACTTACGCGACGAACGTGGTAGTTGCCTGGAATTTGTACGCTCGGCAGCGCTTTGTCTAAGTGGTGAAACATCGTTTCTACATTTACCCTATCGACGTGAACAAATTAACTCGTTGACATCGTACCTTGATGCATCAAACATTTATGGTAGTACTGTCCAAGATGGCTGGGATTTAAGAGAGAGAAGTGCGGGTAAAGGTCTTCTTCGAACACACAGGTTTGACTCTCTAAAACATGCGGAACCTTTTCTTTTATTGTGTTGTTATTGCAGTACTCCAACATATCCAAAAGGTTTACTACCATTCAGCACTGATACGCCCGTTGATTGTCAACGAGATCGTCAAGCAAGTCAGATTGGTTGTTTTCTAGCTGGAGGTAAACGATGGGTATTACAGGAGGATGTAATTCGTCATATACACTCTCATTTCAGACCATCGTGTCAATGAACAAGTGGCATTAATTGCTATGCACACAATTTGGGTTCGAGAACATAATCGTTTAGCAAAAAAGTTGTCTCATTTAAATCCACTGTGGAGTGATGAACAGGTGTATCAAGAAACACGAAAAATAGTTGAAGCTCAAACACAAATCATAACCTATAAGCATTGGCTACCATTTATAATTGGAGATGATGGTATGGAAATGTTGGGTAAATATCGAGGATACAAACGATCAGTAGATGCGAGTATCTCGAATGTATTTGCAACAGCAGCATTTCGATTTGGTCATGGTCTAATAAATCCCGTCTTTTATCGTTTAAATGCTAGTATGGAACCAATACCCGAAGGCAATCTTCTCTTACGTGATGCCTTTTTTTCACCTTGGCGCGTGGTTCAAGAAGGCGGCATTGATCCATTACTACGTGGCATGTTTAGTGTACCGGCAAAAATAAAATTACCCTCACAAATTGTTAATATTGAATTAACAGAGAAATTGTTTCATGTCACACGAGCAGTATCATTAGATTTGGCCAGTGCCAATGTACAACGAAGTCGTGATCACGGTTTACAATCATACACACAATGGAGACGTTTGTGCAATATGACACAAGTGAATGATTTTGATGATTTAAAAATAGATATCAAACATGAACCAACGAGACGAAATTTACGAGATGTTTATAAACATGTTGATAATATTGATGTGTGGGTGGGTGGTATGCTGGAAGATAATTTACCTGGTGCAAAAGTCGGACCATTGTTTCGATGTTTACTAGTAAAACAAATGAAGTCATTACGTGATGGTGATAGATTTTGGCATGAAAAATCTGATATATTTACACAAGCACAATTGAAATCAATACAGAAGACCTCACTGGCAAAAGTTGTGTGCGAAAATTCAGATCATATTGATACAATACCGCGTAATGTGTTTCTGAACGCCTTGTTTCCACGTGATTATGTGCCGTGTGCACAATTAGACGATATTGATGTTGAACCCTGGCGTGGATGTTGTAGAGAGAACATGCTTGGATCGAATGCTGGTAAGATATTTGCGGATAGTTTTTCAAAAGTCGCTAGCATCATTCCATTATTCGCATTTAGTGTGTAATCAACCAGCAATTCTATCGTTTGATCCTTTCCCGATACATCGATCAACTAGCCTTGATCAACAACAAGTTCCTCGTCAAAAACGATCTGACGAACAGCAAACAGAAACCACGGATGATGATTTGAAGATGAGTGAACTCAGAAAGCAGGTCGACGATGTTCTAAAAAAGGTACGTTATTCGGTTATCTGATGTTAGAATACAAGAGCACATGTAATTCTGTTTTTAGTTTTCTTCGATTGATAAACGTTTGACAACGGGCACACATTGTTACGATCAAAGTACAAGGAAAATTCGTGCAAATGGTGAAAAATGGCACGTTCACAAGTGTCTTGTTTGTCAATGCAAGGTAAACTAACACATTTTATATAGGTAAAACTGTTACATCCCTCGTGTTCTTTAGAATGCAACCAATTCATGCGAAATTATTTGCTGAGTAGTGACACTTGAATATTGTTTTGCAGTCGTTTTGTTCCGCAATGACCAATCGTTCCCGTTACTTTGCTTTTACTTTTCAATTTTTCTATCATAAATAAATTCACTAGTTTGTACAGGGAAATTAAGTTTGATAAAACAAAAGAAAACTCATCATCCACATTATGTGTGACCGACGGCATTATGTGACGAATCCATTTGGGAGATTTAAATATATTTTTGTTTGATCAGGTAAGGTTTGAGCAAATGGGATCCGCTATATACTATACTTTTTGAGATATATAGTTATAAACTAGATGCGGAAAGTTAAAAATCCTACTATATTGTATTTCTTCGTTTGTAATGAAATCAACAAGTTGTCTTGATACATGCATATCCAATGTACTTATTAAAGTCGATAATCCATTGATATTTGGAAACAGGCTAGAGTCGATCAGAGAGTAGTAAAGAAGCACTTTGACATTGTTTGTAGATGTCGTTGCATTATTATGATAAGGGTATAATTTCTTTGTACTACATCGTATCAAACGTTCGATAGCATACTTACAGAGTTGTAACCGCTTCTGCCGGTGACTAGAATCGCTCGACCAACTCTGTGCTGTGATCATAGCATCTGTAACTTGCAGAAAGCTAGTAGTTGTTACTAGTTTGTATGAGGAGCTGAAGATTGCCCACTCTTCTTTTGGAGCTTTCCCTAGAAATATTGTCAATTAGAAACTGGAATTGAATAAGCCTTCTTCTTCTCAGGACCAATTAAAAACTCAATTGAGCACTTTTGCGTTCGTGTTGCAAGTCTCTAGCTATCAAGCTTTTTCAAACTGCTTCATTTCCATATTCAGTCAAGGCTTTTCAATTCTAAAATACGAATTTCTTGTACTTTGAAAAGAGAAGATGATAGAACTTCGTCAAATCTTTGTGCTATCAGTCTGTTGGGAAACATTTTCAAGTGTTGAACGGAAGTTCGAAACATTGAAAATAAGAGTTTATCTATTGTAATCCAACAGACATGAATAAACTCACATCACCTCAACGAAAGGTCGATGAGAACTGGGAAAGATGTTATTGTGTAGAGAATACTTCACTCTAGAATGCACCATGTTAACTCAAAACTGAAAATCTTTTCTGAAAGAGCGAGAGTGCCCTTAAGTAATTAGACGAAAGAACATCGCACCAGGTCCGACTTCCGTCGGGAACTACAGTTGATGAGTAGCAAAGGCATTGATAACATTCTACACTGGCAAAGATTATCGTAAGATGAGATATTCTTCTTTTTCGTACTCATCTATAATTTCCAGAAAACGTTTCACATAGTCAGTCACAATCTTTCATCACATTTATCAGATCAACAAACGTTTCCTCCTTGATTACAATATCTTTGGCTTGTTGGAGATATTCTAACACGTTCTTAAATCATAACCTAATTCAAAACCATTGGGACACAAACCGTAATAATCAGTGCTTGATGGCTTCATCATGCAAAAACGGTTTGTCGAAGTCAAAACATTTGGCATTTATCCGTATAATAAACGGTAATTTGGATTTGTCGGTAGAATTTTGTAGCTCTGTTAAATCCACTTTTGCAGTTTTATGAAAATTAGATATTTGCCACATATGACATCGAGGAAATGACATTTCCGAGAAGAAGCATCTCCGTACGCACTAGGTTAAGATTTTCGTTCACAAATATAAAAACAAAACAGAAGAAATACAATTGTATGGCAAGAAAAATTCGAGTCGGACGGAATTATATATGGCCTTTCAAGAACTTTTTTTTCGAGCATGGGAGACCAAAACGGATTTTAATTTTATAACGACGTGGTGAATGTCGGCGTCGGCGTCGATGATGATGATATTGGTAATGTGATGCGTTTTTATGAATAAAATCTAGTGGTAGGCAATCTTCGCCACATGATAAATGTTCATTGGATTCATTAAAGTTATCAGTATTTTGTTTACAACAATTTAATTGACACCAGCATGGTAGGTAGGATACGATAGAAAACGTCACTTTAGTTAGTAGTAATACATCACCAAGACGTGCTAGTAAGAATAAACAACGACAAATTGATATGTAGACATAGTCACTAGATATTGATGGTGGTGAGGCAATTGACGTGTCAGTAACTCTGTCTAGATGATTGCCGGTTAAAATTAACCGTTTTAGTTGTAGCATATATGGCCACAGATCGATGATATTCATTGGTAGAGACAATAGAGCATATTTTAATGTAAATAGAGTTAGAAAAAGATAATTTCGTCGGCACGATAACTGCTCTTTGTTTATTGGCAATAATGGTACAGCTGATAATGAATGATCGTTGGTTGCTGTTGATATTGTTGCCGGTGGTATTTGTATTGTTGATGATAAATAGGTTGCTGTAGGTTTTTGAACATCACTTGTAGTAGTTTGACCTGTATCATGTAAAATATCACAATCGGTATGTGAACGATACGTTTTATCATGTTTATCGGATTGAAACGGGTAAGAGATACGTGGTTTCACATTATTGTAGGGCATATCAGTTGAACACAAATCAGCCTTTGTTATTAGTGTCATTGGTAAATATTCATAACTTGAAAATTGTTGTAATGAATTTGTTGTTGTTAATTGTTGCAGAGACTGCCGCGCACTGTATGACGATTTATTGGTATTAGTACTAGAAACAAAAAATTTTGATTGTAAACTCGAATATGGGTCAATATCTACAAAAATTGTTGGATGTTCTTGCAAAATATTATTATAACATTTCACACATGTTTTACTCTCTAAATATGCTCGAATATCAAGTTGCTGGCATTTTCGACGTTTTCCATATTTAACATAAAACGCTAAACATACGCCAATAATACACATTAAAATGACAAGTATATTCAAGAAGGGTAATAGAAGAACATTAATCATTAACAATGGAAATAATGCACTGGTCTGAGAATGCTTAGGCATATAAAATATAAAATTGTAGGCAAATATTAGTGCTAATGATGCGGATACAATTAATATTATATTAGTATGAGTATTTAATATAATTTGTTTTGGTCTATATTGTAAATTTGGTGTTATGTGTATTTGACTTAGATACAGCCGACAATTTGTGAAAAAAAATTGTACTACACATACCGCTAATATAAAATTATGAAATGTAAAAAAATTTTGAAATATCTGTGTTAATAATGTAATAGATATTGATAAATAGGATATAGATCCAGTACGTAACAGTTTATTGTTACTACATTTCTTAATTATTAAATTAGTCAGATAGATAATTGCTAACGAAATATTTGAAAATGAAAATGCACGAATCCAGTTTCGATATGCACATGAACGTAATAGAAAGGTAGAGGTCGATGTTGTAGATTTTGACTGTGTCTTGTTTTCTTGTGATTGTTGTCGCTGTTGTTGAGCTGATGATGATGAACATAATGTAATTGTAAACACTAATACGTGTTCGAAAATAATAAATATTAATAAAAATATTTCAGATATGTTCAATATTTGGTGAAGTGACGGCATGTAACCATGACCATTTTGATATTGTTGTTTAACAGATGTTTTATTCATTTTGAATAATAATCTAAAATATTAATATGTTAATGGAAAAGAAACTGAATGTTTTCTGTATCGACATAAATCTCTCAAGCAAAAGTACGTCAATTTTCTTCTTCATGGAAGAAAATGTTAGTCAGAGTAAACATATTCTTTTTACTAACTCTAGTATATAAATATTCAAGGAATGTGATTTTGCACAATATTAATAGATCTCGTGATGTCATGACTGATTGTAGCATTAGATAAGAAAAAGAGATGACATTCAAGAACGGTTTAAATCTAGATAAAAATGTGACGCATCAAAGTTAAGTAAACCAAGAATTTCTCTAGGTTCTAACTTAGGTCAAAAATAACTTGACGTGTTAACTGTAATAAGCTATTGATAAAGGTATAACAAGAATTTGGCCACTCTGAGCATTTTCTGAAAAGCCAAATATAGGAAATCAAAGTTTAATTCTTACTTCACAGTGTAAGAGAAGCTGCAAAGAGTAAATGTGCATAAGAGCTATATAAGAATTTTATGTTACTAATCCTTAGTCATTTCTGTACTAGCTGTGTTGACTTGTTTAATTACTTGTTTCTATTAGTGCTACTGTGAACTCATGAATGCTTGTCACAATAAAACTAACTAATAATGTAAGATTAATGGAGATGCTAGCACAACACAACAAGAAGCAGGCTAATGAGTATATGACATCGCTGATCGACAGAAAGATTAATTTCTAATGATTAAGGTAAAAAATATCGACATACATTTCAACGACATGACTACAATATCGAAACAGTATACAACAGATA